TTTCTTTCACCTCCACGACTACCAAGGCTGCCAAGGCTCCTGCCTCTCTCACTGGGCAATGGCGAGGCTCCCCACGGCCCCCCTGGGCCCCCTTGCCTCCCTGCCCCCTCCAGTTCTCTCTCCACTTGGCAGCAAGAGGGATCTTTCCAGAAGGGAGATCTGATGCTCACCACCTCTCTCCCCCAGACCTCCCAGGGGCGCCCCTGCACTGCACTTCATCCCCACCACGGCCTGCAAGGCTCAGGACCTGAGCCCGCCCGCTCTCACCAGGGGTGCCAAGCTCAGAAGTGGAGAACACAAGGCAGGGAGCCTGGGGGGACAGAGCTGGGGGTGGCGCCGTGAGGGTCACAGAGCCCTCACCAGGGACAGCTGCGGTGGGGTGGTGTGTGTCGTATGTGGCGTGAGTGCAGCGCTGAGAAGGACCAAGGAGAGGCCGCAGGCTGCCGGGGACAGGGAGGCAGTGGGCGCCGATGGCCAGGGCTGACCTGGAGACAGGGGGTGCCGACGGCCAGGGCTCACCTGAACAGGGGGCTTCTCGGCAATTGTGTCAGCCACACAGGGAGACCTCGGGCTCTTCGTCCCGCTCTGTGTTCCTGGCCATCAGAGAGCAGCGCGGGGCAAGGGCCCTTCCTGGGAAGATGGGGCTGAGGCAGCCACGTGGCCCTGGGCCTCCCTGCTTTGGAGGGAAGCAGCTCTCCGGGAACCTGGCTGAGCCTGAAGCTGGTTCCACCCTTAAGACTCTCGGGGAGGGGAGTGGTGGAGGGCGAACTGCGGCTGGGAGGACCCCTCGGCCGGGTCCCGCCACGTCCAGTCGCTTGGGCGAGGGGCTCCCACCCTGTCCTTTCCTCCCTCCCGGCCCCGTGTGAAGGAGGGCTGGTGTTTCCTCTGGGACACGGCGGGGCTCTGGGCCCCATCTGCACTTCTGTGCTGGCAAAGGCAGGAGAATTAGCTCAGCAACTTCCTCCCTTAATCCCCCACCCCCATTCTAAATACCTCGGAATCAAGAGACAAGCCGAGTGGACGTTTTGAGCCTAATTCTCCTCAGCTGTGCGTGCGTGTGTGCGTGCGTGCACTCGGGGGCAGGGGCCTGCGAGGAAACCTTTTGAACCCCGAATATCAGTGCTGGAGGGAGCGGCCCCCATCGCGTACGGATGAGATAAACCAGATGCCCTCTGTCACATGGGGAGCCGGAGTCAAGGCCGCCAGGTGCCCGGGCTCTCTGCCGCACACCCGCCCCACAGTCCGGAGCCCCAGAAGGTGACAGGGGCTAGGGGCCACACCCCAGGGCCTCCAGGACCAGCCCCTGTGCTGGCCCAGGCTGGGGAGGGAGCCCAGTACAACCCAGAGAGGAGCTGGCCGCTCCTGCCACCCCGTCCCTGAATTCTGCCCACGTGCCCAAGGCCAGCTCCAGGCTCCCCTCCCCCCTGCCTGCCTGGCAGCCCCCAGTCTGTCCCGGGCTGGCCTGGAGTCCGCCCAGCCTCACATGCTTCTTCAGCCAATTCCCACGTGTCTCTTGTCTCCCGACGAGACAAGAAACCCCTCTCAGTCTCGGGCTGTTTTCCTCTCTGTCTCCCCTAAAGGCCTAGGGAGGAGGCGGGGCTGGGGGGGCGCACAACAGGTGCGCTGGGCTGGCGGGCAGTACTGGCTGATTGACGGCGCCCCATGCGCGGTGAGGGGGTGAGGGCTGAGGACTCGGCCCGCGTGTGGCTCGGAACCACCCTTCCCACCACTGCGTCAGAACGGCCAGCGGCAGGCCCCGGCGCCTGGCTCAAAGCACGGTCGCGAGGAGACTGTCACACAGGCACACCAAGATGCGGTGCCCGCGGTGCCCGCAGTGTTCCACCGGGAGCGAGTCTGTGAGGGGAGGATGTGAGGGTCTGGGATCTCAGGGCCTGAGGTTAGAGGGCATGCTGGAGCGAGCACCGTCACGGGAGACCACGCACGTGTGAACTCGGCCACTCTTGTGATGCGCCCCTTCCGGGTACACAGTCAGAACCCCCATTTTGTTAGCTACAAGACCAAAGTCAACTCAGTTTTAAGGATTTTTAAAAATCAGTTTTCAAAACTTATGGTTACCAAAGGGGGGAGGGGGGAGGGATAAATTAGGAGCTTGGGATTAGCAGATACACACTACTATATATAAAATAGATAACCAACAAGGACCTACTCTATAGCACAGGGAACTATATTCAATATCTTGTAATAACCTATAATGGAAAAGAATCTGAAGAAGAGTATATATACACACACACACGTACACAAACACCCATGATCTGAATCACTTTGCTGTACACCAGGAACTAACATAACATTGTAAATTAACTAAAAAAAAAAAAATCCAGTTAAAGAAATCAGGTTTTTTTCAATTAAAAAAAAATCAGTTTTCAAGATGGAATTCTAATCAACACCCTTTGTCACTCTTTACTCGGAGGTGGTCACCATTTTAAATGGATTTGCTTCAGATGGCTTTTCATCCCATGCTCAACATCCTTGGATTAAAAGCAAACCCCAGACCAAGATCAAAAGGTTGGGAAAAAGCTGGCGTTCCTGAATGAGGACTAGAGGGGTCAACCGTGGTCCTTCCTACGATGCAGCTAACGAAAGCAACCTAGGGATCGTCGGTTCTGACAAAGGACAATGTCCAGAACCCTCGGAGAATCTTGTCTGTCTTTCCTACTGGAATGTAAACCCCACACAGGCAGGGATTTTTGTGCCGTTGAAATCTCTGAAACTGCTCTGAAGTCCTGGGGCTCCTGCTTCCCCTGACATCCCGGGGCGGGGCGGGGTGGGGCGGGGGGCGGTGGGAACGGACATGCCCCAGGGTGTCCAGGGAAGGGGCCCCACCTCCCACAGAGAGATGTGGGAGGCCACAGGAGGCAGAGGTCTGAACCGGATCCCGCTTGCTCAAAGCAGTAAGAACCAGGGTAGTGCCTGAGGCCATGTTGGACCTGCCGGCTCCCCACTGCTTGCACTGCTTTCCCCGTGTACTCTCTCTCGTTCTGGCCTTAGCAGCTTTGTGAAGCTGGCAGCGTCACCTCCGTCTTTCAAGTAGGGGCCTCAGCGTGGCGGACTGTGGGCCAGGACCCCAGTCCCTCCCCGCCATTCTTGGCCAGGGCCAGAGGGTAACCCTGTGGGAGTGGGGAGAGGGAGGCTAGGCAGTCAGAAGAGGCAGGAGAGAGGGCAGCTGAGAACCTGTCCTGTGGGGGCAGAGAGGGGCTGGCACCCCCTGTGAGCCTAGGCTCCAAGCCCCCGGAGCCTGCTCCGTTGTCCCATCAGACTTCACTCATAAAACACAAGTTCAGAGATATTGATGAAATTATTAAGAATTTCAAGATGGCGACAGAAGAGCACTAACCCCTAAGCACGGGGCCCTCTGAGCGCAGGGCCCCACCTGGTTGGTCCTGGTTACAAGTGCCTCCAGGATAGGCAGATGCCAAAACCCTCCCAGCCAGGTGTGCAAGGGCGGCTGTCCCCCTGAATCAAGTGCTCCAATCCAGGCTTGCTGCCTGGCCTTTTGATGGGCTGGGCGGGGGCCAGGGAGATGGCCAATCTGGGCAGTTTCTGAAGGTCAGAGAGCAAGCCTTTGACACTGGAAAAGAGGACGCCATTTCCCCTTTGTCCTCTAGGCTGAACCACAAGATAAAACTGGACGCAGTCACCCTTGGACAGATTCCTGGGTCTCTCCGTAGACATATATTTCAGGCAAACCAGTTGAGATGAATGGCCTTGTTGAGCCCATTGGGTGCGGGGATGGCTGCCAGCTCAACTCTGGGTGGAGGGCCAGGGGTAGCAACCTTGGAGAACACCCTGAGAGTTCCATGTTCCCAGACTGTTTCTGTAATTTGAGTGGGAGGTCCAGGCGTGCTGGTAAAATCTCAGTGCAGTGAGAGCTCTGTGAGGACAGGACTCCTCACTGCTGTTTAAGGCAGTGCCTAGCAGCCGGAAGGAGCTCCATAGGTGTAATGGATGGAAGGAAGGAAGGATGAGCGAATGGGTAGGTGAAGAGATGGCTGGGTGGATAGGTGGCGGGTGGGTGGATGGATGGTTGGTAGGGAAAACAGTCAAGAGGCAGAGACAGGACCTGGCCTCCAGGCAAGGGGGGGCGGGGGCGGGGGGGGGCGGGTTGGGGGGGGGGGAAGAGGGGAGGGGGGGGGTGCGGGGGCGGGGCGGGGGGGGGGGGGGGGGGGGGGGGGGGGGGGGCAGGTTAGGAGGAGGAGGAGATCGCACACAGAGTTTTCAGGGTCCAGCGGAAGTCAGGCCACTTGGGTCAGGAGCCCTGCCAACTCCCACAGGGTGACCTGGTTAAATCGTGGCACCTTCCTCACAAGGTCTCCTGAAGACGGAGCAGCAGAGCCCCTGAGGGAGGTGCGCCCGTCCAGCCACGCGGGAGCCTGTGGACCCCCGGGGAAGGGTGTGCAGAGGGCTGGCCACGTGTAGAGTGCCGCAGATGTTCCGCGGGGTCACCCTGGGGTGCACAGCGCCGCATCGAGGGGCGACCCAGGCGCGGAGCGAGCGCTGGACTCGCAACAGGACCCGATCGCGAGGGTGGACGTTCGGACCGCCGAGGTGGCGGTGGCGGTGGCGGTGGGGGTGGGGGTGGTACAGCCCCTGAGCAGGGACGGACAGGGCGGGGTGCGGCACGTGGCGCTGGGCTCGCCCGGCCAATGCGAGCCCGGGTGGCATCGGCACCAGCCGTCTCGGCCAATGGCAGAGCGCGGCACACCGCTTTCTGTGCCCGGCCAATCCACGCTGCGGCACGTGGCACGCCCGCCCCCGCGGGCCATCCAATCAGCGGCGGGACGGCCGCCACATCAACCCGGGTCGGCCGCCACTGCGGCCACTCGGCAGACGGTCACCGTCCCGGGCGCGCGGCCGCTGCGCTCTCCTTGTGGCCGCAGTCACCTCGGTGCCGCGCTCTCCTCGCGGCCGCGCTCACCTCAGTGCAGCGCTCCTCGGGCTGCGTTCTCCTCAGGCCGCGTTCTCCTCAGTGCCGCGCTCTTTCCACCGAGATGCTCCTCGGGCCGCGCTCTTCACGGCCGCAGCCGCCTCAGTGCCGCGTTCCTCAAGGCCGCGCTCGCCTCACGGCCGCTCAGCGCTCTGGGCGCGGTCCGCCGGGAGGAGCGGGGACGGGCGACCGCCGGCGAGCCAAGGTGAGCCCCGCGTCTCGGGGGCGGGCGGTGGGCGGTGGGGGTTGCCGCGGTCGGCTGCTCGGCCGCTGGGCCCGGCCTGGCTGGCGCTCCCTCTGCGCCTCGAGGGAGCCGGACCAGGGTCGGGACCGAGGTCCGCCTCTGCGTCGCGCTTCCGAGTCTGCGGATGGAGGATGGAGGATCCGAGGGTCGCGTTCCGAGTCCAGGGTCGGATCCGCGTCTGGAGTCTGTCTCGCCCTTCTGCGTTGGGGATCCGTGTCAGAGTCCGGGGTCCCAGGGCGGGTCGGGGCTCTGAGTCGGCGATCAAGTCAGGGTCCGTCCGAGTTAAGATCCGAATTCTGAGTCGGGGAGCCGAGTCCGCCTCGCGGTGCTGCGTCTGGGGTCCGAGTCAGGGGTTGGAATCCGCGGCTGGGGTCCGCCTCGGGGTCTGAGTCGGACAGCTGAGGGTCAGAGGTCCTGGGAGAGAGCCGGGTTCCGAGTCCGGGGTCGGGGATCCGAGTGGGGGTCTGGTGTCCGCCCTGTGGTTCCGAGTCCAAGGTCGGGGCTGCCGGTGTGGGGCGTCTAGAAGCCGAGTCGGGATCGGATTTCCGAGGAGGGGCTCCAGGTCGGGCGTCCCAGTCGGGGATTGGAGCCCGAGTCGCGGTTCTGAGTCAGGGTCCGGGTTGGGGATTGGGGTTGCGAGTTGGAGATCGGAGTTGGCGGTTAGAGGTCCGAGCTGGGGATCAGAGGCAGGAATTGGAAGTCGAGGTTTCTAGTCTCAGTGGAGGTTCTGAGTCAAAGGTCGGTCTCCATTTGGGGGTCGGAATCACCGGCCCGGGTGGGGGATGGGAGGAGGGCCTAGAAATCGTGGTCACAGCAGGCGCTGGGAGTTGAGGATTGGAGTCAGGGGGCTCAGTGTGGGCAGGAGCCGGGGACAAACTCACCGCCAGCCCCCACTGTTCCTCTGGCACCTTTTCTGCGAAACGGGGATGAGTGCCTTCCCAGAGGACTGTTCCGGGCACGAGAGGGGTTCATCCATCTGCACAGGACGGTCCTGACCTAGACTGAGTGTCACAAAGTACAGGAATGTTGCTAACGACAGGAAAATCTACATTTGAGGTGTGTTTCCCAGTCCCTTTCGTTGTTGCCGTGCCTGTGCCCGCGGAGAGCTCCCGGAAGGGACTCTTCCGGTCTCTTCTCTGCTGCCTGCCCCGCACCTAGCCAGGAGCCTGATACGCAGCCGTGCTCAGGCAGTGCTTGTTGAAGGAAAGCAGGCAGGCAGGATTAACCAGATTTCTATGGTGTCTCAAATGATCCGTTTCTGCACCTGTTTTCCAGATACTCGCTAGGAGAAGAATCTAAGGATTGGGTTGCTTGATTACGGTTCTATTTTAATGTATTTCCAAACATGCTGAAGAGAAAAATGGGCCTGTTTCAGGATTTATGCTCCAGCTAGAGGGATCTTTTTTAAATTGTGAATCAGAGCATGTCCAAATTCAAATAAGGAGAGCCAAAAGAAAAGAAAATTATGAACTATTTCCCTTATGAACATAGATGCAGAAGTCCCATGTACAGCGTTAGCTAACTGAATCCAACAGTATATTAAACAATTCTTAAACAAGTGGGATTTCCACTAGGAATGCAGAGATGATCCAATATCAGAAATTCTATCCATGTAATTCACCACATTAAGAGACTAAAGGAGAAAAACCATATGGGTCTCTCAGTAGAAGCAGAAAAATTGTATGATAAAGTTTAATGCCTTTGTATGAGTTGGGGGAGGGCACCACTTAGCCAGCTAGGACTAGAAGGGAACTTCTTTAAACTGATACAAGTCATATAGAAAAACTTTACTTTTCAGCAAACTGAAGGGAGAAACCAAAAGTGTATCTGTCCCTTTAAGATAAGGAGTACCCTTAGGATGCCATCCTGGCCGTCCCCCAGCACAAGGAAAGGGAACGAAGTGTATGGAGAGGGCCCAAGGGAAAGAGAAAGCTGCTGATTCTAAGATAGATTGTCTGTATCAGGGTTCTTAAACGTTTTAGTCTTAGGACCCTTGTACTCTTAAAAATCACTGAGGTCCCCAAAGAGCTTTTGTTAATATGGGTTATATCTTTTTTGATTGATAGTTACCTTCTTAGAAGTTGAAACTGAGAAATGCTTAAAACATAGGACAGTACAAAAGCACATATTCCGGTGGGGGGTCATGCTGCCTCTGGAAAACTCTTCAACTTTGGGAGAGTGGGGACAGAAGAGGCAAATGTTGTCTACGAGTATTATCACGAAAATACCAAAATAGTTTGGACCCTGAGAAAGAGTTTCAGGGGCTCTCTGGGGTCCTTGGGCCACACTCTGAAAACTACTGAGCTACATGGAAAAAAAAATCAACTTTTAGAACTGAAAAGAGACTTCAGCAAAGTGTTTGGATATAAGATCAATGTACCCCCCCCCCCCCCCGCCCAAAGCATTTTTTTTTTATGCCAGTAGTGAATACTTTAAAAGCGTAGTAGAAGTTAAGGTAGAAATCAGTGTAGCAGCGAAGTTTATGTCGGGTCTTGGAATTAACAAAGACTTTTATGAAGAAAATTTTATCGAAGGATATAAAGGAAGATCTTTTGATATGGAGACACATTCTATTCTCTTGGATGGGGCAGCTCAGTACTAGAGAGATGTCAGGTTTTTCCAAATCTGTAAATTGAATACCACTCTGGTTAAACTTCCAGTTGGAGCTTTTGAGGAACTTGACAAACATATTCTAAAGTGTATGTGAAAAAAAAAAAAGATCTACAAACACCAAGTGAACTTTGGAAAAGGAGAACAGAGAAGGCCTTGTACCAGCAGATCCTGGGGCCTACTCCAAGCCTCAGTGACTGGAATGGTGGGAAACAGAGGCCCGGGAGAGACTTCAGAGGCAGCCCTGCACTAGAGGAAGGTGGCATGAGATAAAGGTGGCCCCACATGTCTAAGAGGACTGTTCAGAAGATGGTATTGGGAAACTTAGCCCTAAATGGAGAAACATGAATGTTGGTTCCCATGTGACCCCCCTAGAAAAGCAGGCTCCAAAAGGACTTAAAGATTTACAAGTAAAAGGTACTTGACATTTGTTCAGTAGGAGAAAACTATGAAGAGTTTTGTGGCCCAGGGTGGCCTTGGGGTCAGCACAAGCACAAACCACAGGACTAAAGTTTATGAACTTGAATGCATGCTAATTAAGTATCTCTGTTCAAGAAATCCATCGCGGCAACGGTCGGAACTATTTTCGTAATAGTGACTTGCCTTTCTTCACTCTGACTTGTGTTGCTCTGCCCAGGTTACAGATGACAAATTCCAAGATCTGTGAGACAACTAAAACCAATACGGGAACAACAGCTAAAATACACTAGGAAGTCTTGCAAATCGATAAGAAAAAGATAGGAGGCCCGAGAGAAAAGGGGGCAAAAGATATTAATTGGCGATTTGCAGGAGGGTTAACAGCCATGTGAAAAGACGCCCAGGCTCATCCGTAATCAGAGAAATGCAGATGAAAGCCACAGAGACTCTTCACTTGAGAAGAGGCAGAAAGTAGGATAATGCCAAATGGTGGCAGAAATGCAGGAGACAAGCCTCCCTGTGTGCTGCAGGTGGGAATGTAGACAGGCAAAGACATTCTGGAGGGCCATCCAGTACTTCTTCCTCAAAGAAAATATTTAATACCTGCAACCTACCAGTTTCCCTCCTGGGTAAACAGCTAGAGCAGTTCTCACCAGAACAACGAGGGGCTGTGTGTGTGCATGCTCAGTGCAGCCTGCCTGTGAGGGTGGGGAGCTGGAACCTGGCACTGCGGTTAGGAGTAAGGACTAGATGTACACTTCCCAAAATGGAGACGTGTGCAGACACGGCGCCGAGTGACACAAACGCCAAACAAAATGAGAGCCTCGGTACACGGCTCTGTATTTAAATTAAAATTACACACCACCCAGACGTGTTAGAAGATACTCCATGCATTACCAGGCCGCATGCACACAACGACATAAATAAATTACACTGGAGCGGCTGGCTACGGCGAGAGGAGAGGTGGGGTGGAGAACAGGGATTAAATGGAAAAGCAGAAAGACGCCTTTTCAGGGGTGCCTCCCACAGACCCTTATCGGGTAGCCCACAGTGCTTCATGAACTTAGGGCTGTGAATAACCCCATGTCCTATGCAGCAGAGTCCCCAAAGCCAAGAGTGAATGAATGAATGTGTGTTCTGTCCCTCCCCCTGCCAGGCATCCTCTAGTAGCTTCTATTTTGGGGAAATAAAATTCAAATTCCATCTGGTTTTACAAGATCTGCCCCGCCCGCTGTCCTTCTCCCTCACCGAGCTCCTGTCACGCCAGCCTTCTTGCCTGTATCTCAAACCAGCCACGACAAGTGCCTCCTGGCCTTTGCACCAGCTACTTCTGCCTGGCTGTTCCCACGACAGTTCCTTCTCGTCCTTTAAGGTCTCACCTGAAGTGCCGCCCGTGAAAGAGACCTCCTCTGACCCGCCATTTCAGTTGGCCCTTTCAGTCACTCGCTAGGTCGGCACTGTGTTTCAGGCTTCCACGTGCACAGACTATGCCTCAGTATTTTCTAGTTCCTTAGGCGTCTACTTATTTGTTGCTGCCTGTCTCCTCTAGCAGAAGGGAGGCCCCTTGAGAGTGTGTCTGTCTTCTCTACAGGGTCTGCACACGGCGGGGGTGCGTCATGCATTGCTGTTGAATGGCTGCATTGATTTGCTGAATGAAGGAAGAGGCCAGGCCAGGAAGGGGTGCATCCATTTTCAGAACGCAATGAGAAAGCACACAGCATGTCAGGATCTCAGCCCCTCAGACCGAGGGTTCTCAGCTGCCACACCGGGGACGTTCGGTCTGAGCATTCTTTGTTGTGGGGCGCTGTCCTTTGTGTCTCAGGATGGTTAGCAGCTTGCCTGGCCTCTACCCAGTACGCACCAGTAGCACCTCCACAGTGGTAATAATCAAAAACGTCTCCAGACATTGCCACATATCCCCTGGGGGGCACCCC